TTTTTTAAACAAGCTTAATAAAACTAAATACATTTTCAGCTTTGTTAGCTCACATCTTTACACAGAGAAAGTGCACTGGGAAACTGCTTTATTAAGACAGCAGCGTAGACTCAGTAGCAGAAATCACGTTTTTGTGTCGGCCTTAAAGGGTTAAAAAAATATATAAGAAAACATAAACAAGGAAGTCTTTAAAACAACGCAGAACATATAGCATTATGTGTATATAAATGGGTTCGTCCACCTGGTGTGAAGACAACTTTTAAACAACTATTATTTTTTAAATTAGGTAATCGTGACAGCCCTAGGTGTAACGTGACTAGAGCCAGGACTATGGCTGGTATTACTCAAAGTCTTTAACAATGCCAATCTCTGAGTTACCAGCAATGACTCAGACCTGCCTAGAACTATGAGACACTTGTGTCTACCTCTTCCTTTTTGCTCCTCATGCCTCATCCAATATCATCATTATTATTTTACCACACTTGCATCATGCTCCTCTAACACATCCTCTTTCATTACTACTGCTCTTTCCATCCGCAGCCTGGCCATTGCATGTTGTAACAAATGATGTCAGACTGTTGTCAAAAACTGCCAGGTAAGCTAGACCACTGGCCACCTCTGTGTTTCCACAGCGTCACGACATGTGGCAAAAACCTGCTGCCAGCATATGCTATTAGCTGAGCCGCTTTGTCACCTCCGTGCTGAATGCTGTCAGACAAAGCCTTTTCCTCGTTCCCCTGCAGTGGGTGTCTGGGTGTATGTACAGATGTGCGACTCAGGTCTCGCTTCTCTCAAGGTTAGATTTCTGGAGCGCAGGACCAGTCACCTCGTGCGCTAGCCTCCAGCTGAGCGATGCATTCACACCCTGTCAACCCCGGCAGCATGGGGAGCGCGCTGCTATTTCAGTGCCCTCCGCAACACGGCCTGCTCGCTAAATGGTACTGGCGCGCCTTCGGAGACAACGAGCACACAAAAGCTGTTTGCTCTCCATGGAGAGAGAGAGAGAGAGAGAGAGAGAGAGACTGAGAGAGGCAGAGGCTACAGAGAGAAAGAGTAGAGAGAGGATAGACAGAGAGCACACCGCCCGTAAATGTCTGTAGCCTAAATGCACTGTCAGGGCTAATGCACTAACAGCCTGTGGTTTCCATTACATTTACAATGGTCATGATAAGGGATAACATTTAGAGTGAACAAACAAGAAACAACAACAACAGCCTGAACACAGATTGACTTGCAAAAAACCTTCTATATAGACATAAATAATAATAAGTTACAATTTACTGAGTTGCCAGTTACTTTGCTTAACTGTGTCTGACGCCACTACCATGTCATTGTCACTGTGATGCTGAGAATGGTCCAAAACCTAAATAATAACTGGTCAGCTGTAGTCACATGATGGTCTCTTTCCATTGATGGACAAGGTGGCAGCTACAGGTGTGCTCTAGTCAGTAATATGCACAGTATACCTACAATGAGGGGAAACAGGTATTCAGACACTTTGGTTTTTGTTATTATTATACTTCCAGTGCATATGTCCTGCCCTGCGATGGACTGGTGACCTGTCCAGGGTGTATCCTGCCTTCCACCCAATGGCTGCTGAGATAGGCTCCAGCCCCCCCCCCAGAAGGATAAATGGCTTAAAAGATGGTGTGGTGTCACTAAACAATCATGTTAAAGATGAATGCTCTTTCTAAAGTTCCTAAAAGACACTTAAATGGAAAAAGCTACAGAGCCATAGTAAAGACCTTAAACATGCCTGTCAGTACAACTGGTCCAATACTATGCAAGCGCAACCACAATGAATTGTCCCCAGAGAGGTGCTCCACAAAATATTTCACAATGCGATCTGATGATACTGACTAATGATAAGGAACAGCAGTCAATTATAAAGAGTTGCAGGAATGACGGTCACACAGAGAACAATAGGCAATGAACTGCACCATATCTGTTCCAACAATCCACTCAATTTACAGTGAAGTGTGGGGGTGGGAGCATCATGATACAGGGCTGCTTCTCAGCAAAACAACACTGGGCCAGTACATGTCATCGAAAGAAGCATGAATGGAATGATGTACCGGGAGACTTAAAGGATTTCAATCTCACTGGGTGAGAAACTGAATCTGGGGGTAGAGAGATGTTTCAACAAGATAATGACAACAAACATACAGCCAGAAAGAAGGTAAAGGTGTGTGACCTAGTCAATCTCCTGACTTGAATCTTATTGAAAATTTATGAAGGATTTTAAAATTGCGAAGGGCCTGCATAACCTTGGGCATGATTTTCCAAGAGGAATGGTCCAATTCTGAACCACAATGCTGCAAAAAGCTAATAACTCAAAGCTGTAACTGTCAACAACATCTTTGCAAAAAAGTACTAATTGTATTCATGTCATGTCTAAATTTACTTCTATCAATTTTGCTTTTAAACATGTCTTTTGTATTCTTATAAATATAAAAATATACTTTTTTGTGTATAAGTACAGAGTCAAAAGACAATGTGTGTAAATGTGAATTGGACATGCACTAGAATTATATTAAATAACAAAAACAGAGGTATCTGAATACTTGTTTCCCATCACTGTATATGGTACGGGTAAGTACAAAGTAGTTAAAGACCTTGTTATTCATTGTATATAAATAAATCTATTAAAAGCAACAAATCAAACCCTTTTAGACATTCTCTCCAGCACTAGACCTCTGCCCTGCAGGCCAGACGGTCTGAAGCAGGGTCAAGCGAGGCTAGACATCGCCCCCAGCATGCTGTGAGTAAGGCTCTCCTCCACTCACGATAATGGCCGTCCCCACTGCGCTGTGACTCAGTTCCCCCTCTCTTTAGACTCCTGAACATCAGTTCCAGCCTCGCGCCCTGCCCCTAAATGAGTCAGCCCACCAACACCAACAGCTAACAGCCCCCTGGTGGGACTCTGTCAAGATCAGGATCAGTTGATGTTTATGCACGTCTGAGGTGTGCTTCTCTCAGGAGGGGACGACTCAGAAAGGGCAATAAATGACTAAAACCTGCACTTCTCACATGAAACAAAAACGGTGAAAATAGCAACACATTGAATTCAATTGATTCAGATGTATGCACTATTTGCACATGAAGAAAATGTTTTACTTCAACACACATTTTGTCTTTCAGTTTACTTACTTCTGGTAATCATGCAATATTCAGCACTATGCAAAAGTCAGAGACCACTACTTATTTATTTCATTTCCAGTACACTTGCATAAAGGAGAGGACAACTGAAGAAAAACAGGTGAAAAAACAAGAGATTTCAAAACTGGAGTTAAAAATATTAAAAGATACAAAGAAAATGGAACTCCTAACAACCATGCAAGACCTGGTTGATGGTAAAACTGACACCATCTACAAAACAGCTTTCATCTTGGAGAAAGAGCAGAGAATCAAACTCCATTCTTGCTTCAGATTTGAAAAAAATACTGGATTTTCTGTCCATCCTTCCACTGTGAGGAGACAACTCAATACTATGAGTCTGAAAGGATGTGTAGCTGCCAAGAAGAAAGGAAACAGACACAAAAGAACAAAAACTGCAAATCAAAGAAAGAGGCTGCTGGTAACTGGCCACCCCATAGTCCAGACCTCAGCATCACTGAATGTGTTTGGGATTACTTGGATTGTGAGAAGCAGAAAATGCAACCAATTACTAAGATTGAATTTTGGAGATGTGGAAAAATATCCCTGCAGATTTCTCTGAAAAACTGAAACCAAGGCCCAATCCCATTTCACCCCTTTCCCCTACCACTGAACGCTACCCCTCCAAATGGAGGTTTTTCAGACGCACACTCCAAATGGAGTGTTATGAGAAAAAGAAAAACCGGCAAGATGGCTGTGCAAGCGACTAGAGAAACAATGTTACACAATGTTACACAAATGTTAGTATTTTCTCTGTTAAAAAATTCTGATATTTTTAAGTTTAATAATCGTTTCAATGTATTTTGTTCCTTTTCATCGTAACAAGCACAAAAAATCGCTAGTAGTATGCTAGTGTCACGGTAGCTAGCTAGCTAAATTTTCTTTTCCACCTTAAATGGTGCAACAGTTCTGATGCCATTTCAAGGTGGAACAGGAAAATTCAAACGAGAAGCTGTCAAACAGCTGAGTTCAGCTTAATATCACTGAAGAATCAGGGGTGGGCGATAATAAATTACTGTTGTACCCCCCCACCCCCAAAAGAAGGCATATGATTCCCTATTGAACTTTACCACTCCTACCATTAGTAGCCTGTTAATGAAAGAACATTCTTTTTATTTGAGGGTTGTCCCATTTCATAAGTGATGATTTTAACCACTACTCCTTGTCACTCAGCTCCAAGGGGCAAGATGGCACTCGAACACAAAGGGTTGCGGTAAAACTAAGGAATGATATTGGACCGTCTCTATCAAAGAACGAAAGCTGTAATATTGGCAAAGAGTGGACACACTCAATACTAAAAAATGTGATATTATATTCAGTTGCTGAGGCTTCTGTACAATTTTCTGTTAAATAAAAGGTTTTCTGCTAACCCTGTAAAATGAATTGACTGGAAATTAAATAAATTAGTAGTGGTCTCTGACTTTTGCACAGAACTGCAGTTTATTATTACACAATTAAATGGAGCAACTTCAGTGCATCCTTTTTATCACGGTAGATGATCTGGATTAAGGTGGCACAAGGACTCCATGAGAATAAAATAAAAGGCTCAAACTGACACCAGAATATAAGAAGCTATCAGTTCACACTCACTGGCAAATTAAAAGATGAGGAAGTATCACAGCAGACTCCAAATGAGGAAGAGACATGGTCTTATGACTTATGGCCTTTGTAGTCAGTGGTTGTACATGTGAGTATACTGAGCCATGTGATGATGACTCTTTGGAAGCCTGGTTTCACCCACTCAGTGTGGGAGACACTAAACTGACTCTAGAAATCAATCCCTTGTCAAATACCAGCTTAGAGGAACCCCCAGGAGAGAGGATACTCTGTTGGAAGCGCCTTACCTTGTGGTTTGGAAGTGAGTGCCTCCTTGCTGATGGAAACCTTGCCGATAACATCATCACGGCTGGAAACAGAAAGGGTTAAAAATCGTGTGAGCAAGACGATGCAGTACAAGCTTGAATCAGTGACCATATTCACAATTCTGCACAGCACAATGTCAGAGCACTCTGGATAATAGGAGGTTTAGTCATAATTAATTCATATCTAGACAGTCTACACGGTATAGGGATCTCTGATTAGCTATGAGGCATCGTTAATTACCATATTAAGTCATTAGCTTGAAATAGCACGATGAGAGGGGAAGTGAATGAGCAAGCTGAAAGAAATGAGCTGTTTTAACAGTAGGGCGCAAAGAGCATGATGATGTCTGCGTGTGTGACACACAGACAGATCCTGACCTGAGAGAGTCTTCATCCATCACATGCAGGGACATGGTGTGAAAGGAAGGTGGGAGATGGACATTGTATTCCTCGCCCCAGAAAGGGGATAGCGTCTTCCATATTGTTGCTGTCCTGAGAGAGGAAGATGTTTAAAAACTGAACTCAGTGTCAGAGAAAGCATTGATAAAGAAATATTTCACTCAAAAATGCTAAGGTTGTTAAGAATGTATGAAACCTAGTCTGGACAAAATAGTAGTATTTCACCTGTAACACATTACCTTGTTCCAAAAAACTTTCCTTCATAATTAGTGCCATCAGTGTTTTGAGAGAAACAGTATATAAAAATACATATAGTTCCTTCAGACTAGCAGGAGACGGTTATCACTGTGGACTGTTAATCCCTTTAACCGCGCGCTCATTATTCAGTAACTGCTATGAATTACTAGGTAACTACCAAGAAACTAATATTTACGCTATGTAGGTATATAGAGAAGAACTGTGCCCACATTTAGCTTGCAGATTAGTTTGCTTGTTAATGGAACTTATTTACTCAGGCCTTAGGGTTAGGGTTAGCAATGTGTACCCTTTCGTTTAAACCATTTCCAGTCAAAAACGGCCATTAAATAAGTTATTCATTTTTCAGTGCCAGAAAAAAGCAGAAACATATATTAACAGAAAATCACACAGATGCCTATAACACTAACTGGAGATAAAACATTACTATACAACATAGAAAACATGGGACTCCTATCTGTCACCTTCAGATAAACAGTACTTAAAGCTTTCATCTTTGAGAGAGAGGAGAAAATCAAGCTCCACTCTTACTTCAGACATGAAAAAATCCAAAGGTTGTTTCTGTCCATTCTTCCACTGTAAGAACCCCACGCTATAGGTCTGAAAGGATGTTTAACTGTCAAGAAGCTGTTACTGAGAAAACGAAATAAAAAGAAAAGAATAAAATTTGCACTAAAATACTGAAACTGGACATCTGAGACATGGAGTATGGTTGTATGGACCGTGTCTGAATTTGCTGAGTCTGAATTTTTAATCTAGAAACTGTAACCAACCTCTAAAACGGAACTGTGGAAGGGTTTACAAGAAGCATGGAATATCCCTGCAGATGCTTTTTTCAACACTGAAAAATGAATAACTTAATAACTTACCTAATGACAAATAAAAGGCCGCTCTCTGATGTTTGAACAGTGCTGTATTTGGTATCCCCTGCACACATGACAGTGCTCAGCCCTGAATCCTTACTGTCAACAAGACACAAACCAAGCAAACCCACAAACAGCCCATGGTCTGACAAAACAAACTCCGCATGCAATAACTTGCCCCTCTATTGACCAAACTCTGTGTGCAACACACAGAAACCAATAACTGGATGATCCTAAACATAAGACACTCACCGTGTTGAGTCAGCTAACATTCTGTCACTAGGCATACAAGAATACAATTCAACAAGTGAAACATTAACCAGGCAGCCTTGTATTTTTGTGTGTTTTCTGGTCCAAGACATCTTGTGTGCAAACATGAAGGCTTGTCAAAAAGGCCTGGCAAAAAAGTCAGAATGGTTGACCACTGGTTTTTTTCTGGTACGCCATGTTTTCTATAAAGGGGAACTCTATGATTTAGCTCATCCACATGCACATTTAGCTCATGACCCATTTACTTTCATAATGATTAGCTTGTACAAACCCCTTGGTCCTCCTATCACATACTGCCCCTACTTCCCCAAAGAAAGTGATCATACCAGCACGCATTTTAAGTAAAACCCTGTATATGACATTAATATTATGCTGATGTGCATAAAAACAAGTAGCATTTTGAGTCATCTGCCACAGACACTGATGCAATGCCGCCCTCTTTATGGACTTTTCAGCGCGCTTCAGAATAATTCATGACTCACTTAGACTCGTGGGGGTTGCGCCAGTGGTCATAGCACAAGAGAGGGGGCTGAGCAATAGATGTAATAGATAAATAAAACAATATTTCACCCCAGTACACAGCACGCAGCTGGCACGTTTTGGCTTTTTTTCTGCATAGCTGCTTTCAGCAGTTTATTTCACACACATAATGACCAGGATTTCAATTACGAAGAGTGAATGAAAAAGGGCTTTGGTGCAGGAAATCTCATTTGAAACCTGTTAAATCTATGGTAATCGACTTAGGGAGACGAAGCAGGGTCAGCTGCGAGACCTAATATGGGCTCAGAGTGGAATGTGGAAGGAGAATAGAAAATCAGTCATACTGTACCTTATAATGGCCTCGTTATCAATTCGCACAATGCAGTATGGATCACTGCTCCCGGTGCTGTGAGAAAATTGAACAATAGCAATATGTTACACACAATGCATAAGTTATTTCCTACATACAGGTAACTAATTAACCCAAACAATGATCGTCATCAAGTCCCATTGCTTTGAGTTATCAGAACGGCAGGCGAAGAGGCGCTAATTGAAATTCTGAGACTGGCTCAAATATGCAAAGATTCTCGAGCCAATTCTCGAATACGAAATGAATGCTGATAATATGCAGCCATGATTTTGGTGACGTGTAAAGAAAATATTAACACAAAAGGGAGATTTTCTTTTCTTTCCTGGGTTGTGTTCCTCTTTCATCCCATATGCCACAGGTAGAGGAGTGAATCCTTTGGTGTGTCAAAGCTATGCCAAAGGATACGCCCACATGAAGGCGTCCCTCGTGAAGCCTTTGGAGAGCATCGGTTCAAAGGAGACTCCAGACAGACAGACAGACAGGCAGGCAAGCAGACAGACACTGCTGTTTCTGATTGCTCGGTCAGAGATCTGCTTTTATGTCACAGTACTCAAAAAAAAGTGGAGGTTCCTTATGTTGAAATCATCAAAATAACAGTCTAGCCTTCGAACGTTGTCTTTTTGTATGCCAATAAAATGACAGTAGTATTCAAGCGCAAAGGAACTGCAATGATGTTAATCATGGCATGTCACCAAAATCCTTCATCCAGTCACAACATGTGCCATTCTTTTTCTGCACAAGACACCCTGTCTGCTACGGTCCAAATGGCACTGTCTGTCATGTTGGGGTTGCATACTGGGTGCTATTATACCAGTCACTCAAGACATCATATTCTTTTTTATTTTGCACTCTGACAGTGGCGTGCTAGCAAACCCAATCAAAGTAATTAGGGACTTGAAGTAGCAGTCTTTTCATTCCAGCTAGCGTCTGACAACTAGCAAGTATCGTATGAGAGTACGTAGAGGGAGTGCTGTTGTCAGGATGAAGACCTTTGAATTCCTCTAGGGAGTAATGACTGGCAGCAGAAGCAGCCTTTACGAGTGGCGTGTGTGTGTTTGTGTATATAAAGAGGAGAATGGGCGAGTGGATAAGGTGATTCATCTTTGCCTTTTGTTATCAGTGTACGGGGGGAAAAACGGTCTGTCAGAATCAGGTGCTACATCAGACAGCCACGCGGCTTGGCAGTTGAACCACGTACCATCATCTGCACGGCACCTGCAGAAAGATGATAGCGAAGGCAGTGACACACGTGCGCACACACATACACAAACACACGTTCATTCTAGGGACGCACGGATACAGCACTTCTGGGCCCATGACAACCAATCTTTTTTTCTTTTCATTTCAAAACAAGTTCACACTAAAATACATGCCTGAGGTTCAGTGAACATATGACAGAAATCTAAAGACGTGTCTTCATAGGGCTGCACGATTCTTCATTAAATGTGAATCACGATCCTTCATGATTGTAACTTTAAATTCTTGAACATATCAATTACGTAAATAACAATAAAGGATCATGATTCACATTTAATCATGAATCGTGCAGCCCTGTAATGTGAATCACAATCCTTTCGTTAAGGATCATGTTTCACATTATAGGGCTGCACGATTCCTGATTAAATGTGAATCATGATCCTTTATGATTCTAACTTGAACTTATCAATTTTGTGAAGAACATATAAACTAATCTATAAATAACATTAAATAAATAAGTAAATAAATAAATAAGCGATATAACTGCAAAAATCTTGTTTGTAAGACAGACAAAAGAGAAACCAACTGTGCTCTGAGGGGTCCACCTGCACTCGAGAGCAGGGCTGTTACAGCGACAAATTTTCAAAAGCCACATGCTGAGCCATAAAACTTTGCATATTTCTGTAATACTATATTCATAAAAAATATTCCTATATCTTGGCATGAGGCTAACAAATGGTAATTAGTGTACTGCACTCTGTGTCACTGAGTGCGTTTACATGCACTCAATAATCCAATCGGATTTCTGCAATTATCTGATTATTCAAATGGTCATGTAAACAGCATACTCCGATCTAGAAATCCGATTAAGAAATCTGATAAAGAGAGCTGGATTTTAGCTCAGTAATCAGATTGCTCAGTGCATGCAAACCCTTACTCAGATTTCTTTCAGATTTTTCAGTCTACATGTGCGAAAACAGACCGGAAATAAGCAGTCAGCGTTGCTGCGAGATGGCAGCAAAACACTTCACGAAATGAGGTATTTATTCTTTATTTTGTAGATGATGTATGTTCATATTTTCAGGTAAAGTGGCGCAATGTTTTTTTAAAAAGCCACGGCATGAAGTTTGAGTTTAAGTTACGTTCACGACACGTTTTCTTCTGTGAGTTTATTGGCTGGTTGCAAAGCAGAAATCCGATTACCTGACTCCATTGACTCATGTAGACCTGGAGTTTCCCCATTATCTGATTACTTAAGTGCATGTAAACAAATTGATCAGATTCCTGACAAAACCTGATTTTCTGCAGTTATTGGATTATTACACGCATGTACACGCACTCACTGAATATAAAATTAGCAACAAAAAGACAAGCTTGTTTTATACCCAAAGCAATGCAGCATGGCAGTGTGACAAACGCAGCGTGACCCTTTCACCGCTTAATGTACTGCAAAAGTGTTATGGTTACAGTTAGAATGCTAGACTAGAACATTAGAATTAACTATACAGCTAATAAATAAACAAACACTGCACTCAAACTGCCTTCTAAAACTCATAAATTTATAAATAAATTTATAAATAAACTTAGCATTTTTTTTGTATCATGATGTTTCTTAATGAATACATTTACTGCTTTCTTTTATTTATATTTAACTGTCTCAACCCAACACACCCAACTGCAATCAGCTTAAACAACTGCAGTCATCTAAAATAACTGCATTTAAGCAGTTATGTAGTAATTGTGACAGGCCTAGCTGCTCTGACACAGCAAAATCAGATATGATTATTGTAATTATTTACATTTCCTTATGTTAAAAAGCCACTCTTATCAACAGCCACATACAATGGCAGGTGAAGGTAGCATTAGTAGTCTTAATCAAGCACTCTTAACCGTAAAGCAGTGGTGTTCCTGCCTGAACAGGGAATAGAACCTTCATAATCTATGTCAGTGGTGTTTTTTCACTATGCTATCCATTCGAGTGAGTTGAAAACAACAGAAAATCATGCCACTATTGCCGACACCTGTGTGAGTGCAAATAAAAGTAGGGCATTAAATGATTAGCTGCAATTATCATTTCTAATTCCAATACAGGACTGATAGTCATAATGTCATTTTCCTATTTATAGGCAAGTAATATATTGGCTGTCAATGAATCATGCACTATTAATACGTTCGCTCTCTCTCTCTCTCTGTAAGCAGGTTCTCTAGGAGTGCATTTCTGGACAGTTACATCTGAGAAATGACACTGTCCAGCCACCCTTCCTGTAACAAAGCCAACCACTGAACTTTTCAAACAAGCTACAAAACGAATTGATCTGTCTGCTCATAAAAGATCTGAAGCGGTTCAGTTTTATGTCTAGGCAGTTTGTTTGACAGGCTGCTGTATGTGCAAATAAAAAGACAGGTGTTGTCTGATGTTTCAGCTAACAACAAATCCTGCCAGGTCATGAAACACTATCAGCTTCCCACTGAAGTTCGCAAACTGCAGTTGCCAAATAGCTATATTTCAACACTCCAGGCTGAAAATGTGCTCTGGTAATAGAATCAATAACCGTTTCAATTTCTTTTCCATTATCTTGTCTCTATCACTGAAAAATACAAGCAAAACTGAATTTTCAAATCAAATCGTCTCACAGAAAGCAATGAATTATTGGTATTGCTATTGCTGTGAGGATGACTCATAAAGAAAAAATGCCTGACTTTGATCACTTAGCCGTTTTAAATCGACTGCTCTTTCCTGTGCCATGCAATCGTTTTGCAGATGGAAAGGGTGGCGTGGTTGAACTGAGGACATATTTATTTCCCCAGAAAGCCAGAGCGTGGAGCTGTTGGTGAAGACGCTCGGATGCAATCTGTCGCTGCTCGGCAATGTCATCACAGTGTCAATGTAAACACTCCACATGACATCTGGCCCTTAGCTTTAGCACCACAAACACACATATGTATAACAAACAAACGAAAAAAAGGGAAATTCTCAAGGTCCACGATGATTCATGTCCCAGTTCCTGGACTAAAACCATTTAGGGAGTTTAAAAAGAACTGTCATGGGGCCACAGGTACTGTTGTGAGGCACTAATCTCACTCTCACTAATGAGAAATTGTAGCACACAACTCAGTTTTTGTAATAATACCAAAATATGTTCATTTAAAATGATATTTATATTCTATGGATACTGTTAGGACAGATTAGGTGTCGTTTAATCAAGATCAGTTTAGTATAGTGGCAAATTCTCCCAGCTCAGTATCGCAGCATTTTAAACTCAATGTTTAGACATGAATAATTTAGGTATTTTGACAAAAACCAAATTGTGTGCCTCACCTTTCATTAGGTTGAACGCAATATTTGCCAACATTCTGCAAAGCCGGTCCAACTTTGCATCAGCTGCTATGAAAGAAGGCATTCTGTGGCAGAGCACGGACAGATCAAATCAGCATTTTGCCCATTCATCCTGTTTTAACGTATGCTGTGTTACCAACTACTCTTTCCTCACACAGCGCAACGGCCCTCCAACGAAATGCGGCCCAGCCCCAAGCTGCTGCAGTCACAAAAGCTGTGGGCGAAAGAGGAAAAATATGGGTTTCATAACTGATGCCCACAAGAGAAAGTGAACAAGGATTCCAGCAGGGGTGTGCAGTTCGGTCCGGGCTACCGCAATCACAAAGGCTGTGGGCGAAAGAGGAAAAACATGGATTTCATAACTCAAGCCCACAAGAATGAGTGAACAAGGAGCGCTCACTTCATTCCGACGAGGGCGCGTGGTTCGGAGTCCTGCCAAACACAAATGGCCACTGTTATCCAAGGAACATACTTAACTCTTCATCATCTGTCACCTGGAGCAAACGTTTACACAAAAACTTGGCATGTGCTTACATATTAACACTGATAAAAAAAAGACACGACCAAACAGTTCAACGAAATGTGCACAGCACTCCATTAGGCAGAATGAAGCACATCCACTATGCTGTACTCAGCCGTCTTCAGACCTCTTAAAAGAGACCTGGACACATCTGCTTGACCATACCCAACAACAATGAAAGATTCTGGCATTGCTAACTTTAATTTCTCAAGCTCAAAGTGGTACTTAGTCAGAGAAGCTCGCTTCAGATATTAAATCCAGATATTAAATCTGAGCAGCTGTACTGGAGGCAGCTATTAAAATCGTAGCCACAATGATCCAGCAACTGACCAGCGTATAATAGCTTACTGCTTTCATTTTAGCCATTTTTAAAACCTGAGGCTCAGTCTTTCTCCAGATTTCATTCTAATTTCTAATTTTTAATCCTGGACTTTCTTTTAAAATAATTAAAATAAAAAAATCTACATGTACGTGGACTGTTAAAGGGGAACTCCACTGATTTTTCAAATTTTCTGCATAATTAAATGGTTAAGATGTAAACAAAGTCACTCAGAGTCGTCTGGTGTAAAAAAGCTTTGTTCTAGAGAAATTTACAGAGTCAGAACTGTTCACAGTGATACTGATAGGAACCAGACGTCTGAAGTGCTTATTGCCTCTAAAATCTCCCTCACAGCAAGTTATTACATGAAATGATTATACATACTCAGCTTGATGTCCGAGACATTGTTTTGCAGTAGTTTTGTGATAAAATGTTGGCCTACAACGTATTTTCATCAATTTATTTCGATCTATTCATGGTGGAAGGATACATAAAGGCAAAATAGTCCCCAAAGAATATTTTTTTCAGAGTTTCCACTATTTTTCCATTATTGACATTGCATATAAAAACTCAGAAGACACGTGTTCATTAGTGGCTTTGGAGAGTAAATATAATATATTCGTGCTGTAGACATCAAGACCCCTGGTTCGTATCACCACCCCTGTAAAGAAATCTGAGTCGGCAAGTTTCTCTACAAATGAAACACTTCACATCAAGCCACTCTAAATGACTTTGTTTGTCTCAACCACTGAATTACGCAGAAATTTTGAAAAATGGGTGGAGTTCCCCTTCAAGATTCACCTCACAAACTGGTCAATACTGACATGCCGAGTTTGTTCACCTTTGCCTCCCATTGAATATCACTAGCAACAAACTAGTTTACACACTACTATTGCTTTTCATTTTTCTACGTTTTCTGTCAGTCATTTCGTATTTAATTTCGCATTTCCTAACACACATTGGCGGATTTTCTTCAGTTTGTAGTTTCGTGTGTGAGGAAATTCAGTCAACCTCGGCCAACTTGGGCCACCGAAAGTGGCACGACATGGGAAATCCCGAGAGAAATATTACACAAAACACAAAAATACTACTTACATGTCCTTAATAGGCAAATTTTTCGCTTCCACAATTCGAATGAACAGAGTGCTTCGTTTAGCCATGTCGTTGTCGTTTTTAACGGTCGTTTATAGTTCTGGTCGTTTCAATAACGGCTGTGAAGCCTCTAACTGACATTATGAACGTTTAAAAATCCGTTTTGCGCACTGAAATATATGTGAAAATTCAACGCATTCTCTAAAAACGTCTGTGAAGAAACCCGGTGACAGTGACTCGCTCGCACAGATTTTGCCCTCTGCATACGGTGAAACAGTGTGTGACGAGAAGCGATATTATTTTTCCACACCCGTATTCCGGAAAACCCCGCCCACTACGCTTCGATTGGACGGTTGAGACTCGTGTCTTGCGCTCAGATTACCTAGCCTGTTCGGACTAGCCAATCCCATACCGGAAGGCGGGATATTTCCGGAAAACAGGTGGGAAAAGTCATAACGCCAAGCAGACTTCTTGTTGGGGGGTGTGGCAGCCTGAGACATCTCGGCACTTGATTGGTGAAACCGAGGCGTGACGCGCCCTCCGAGCCCTTCAGCTGGAAATCACACATCTCAACGTTCAGTTTGTACTAACGCCTCAGTAATACAGCGCAAGTAAACGGGAAAGTCTGGAAGACTTGATTAAGACAGGCATAGTAAGATAAGACTGACTGTCAATCAGAGCTTTTAAATTCGGTCAGCCTGTTTATTCAGAACGATCAGGACAATGTTCTGGGAAATGGAGTTGGTTTGAATTTATCCTGAAGGACAAAAGAGAGAGGCTCGTGTTTAGGAGAAGTATCGCATCGTCATCTGCTGTTCCTGAGTGTCAGCACGTTGGACATCAAGTTAGATTAATCGACAGTAGTCCTAGTAGTTTAGATCTAACCTGTATCTAACATGCCTTCCCTTTTACCCAAAGCATCTGACCCAGCCAGTCGAGGGCATCTAAAGAACTAGCCGGAGCAGGTGTGGCAGAATGTGGTTAAACCAGAGAATGCGTTGTGAAGAGAATGGCCACTCAAAGACGCTAGAGGGAGCTGCTGAGCGAGTCCAAAATGAATGCGTTTCTAGCTTTTGTGCAAAATCAGGCCTCTTTTCCGCTGCAGGGCCGAACGGTGCTGAGCACAGAGGGCCGTTCCAATGGCTTTTCCACACTGGCACGATTCGGCACGGAACGCTTAGAAACCGGGCTCAGCACGTTTTTTTGGCACGGTTAGCTAACCGTACTTGGGGCCACAAAACCGTTTGGTGGGACGATATAACAACGTAGCTACTCGCTAATTGGTTCAATGTTTATGTTGATATTGCGCCAACACATCTTCCTGTGTTATTTCAAGCTGGAAAGCTCTAATCAAATAAGTTTAGTTCATTCATATGGACGCCAAGTAAATGAAAGCAGTGCATGATTTTAAATCAACCACTCAATAAACATCAAAACTTCAATCTAACACCAATTTCTAAATGTTAAACAGCGCTGATAACCAGGACAGTAGCTGGTTAAAATTAGCTTAGCTAGCATGCTGCCAGCTCTGCTCACCGCAGAACAGGCTCGTTTCCGACAAACAAAAGCATACTGGCTCAGGTTTAGATGATAATAACTTAAATCTGAGGAAAAGAATTCAAATGGCTGGTGTTAGAGGGAAAGCCAAAATTAAACCTGTGAGTTTGGAGCTGTAGCTTCCTAGCTAAGTTAATGCTAGCCACTCCAAGCAAACTTAGCTTACCTAAAGAGATCCAAACAGCCAAGTACAGGTTCGATTTGACTAACTGATTTTCTGCTATCACAAGTATAGATGATAAAAGCTTACAACAGCAAGAGCAAAGTGGACTGACAAAAAGCCAAAATCAAACCTGTTTTGTAGTGTGTTAAGCTGTAGCCTTCTAGGCTAAGCGAACACAAGTGCACTGCGCCTCCCATTGCAGTACTCTTAGCGATGCTTAAAAACACCCATTTAGTGGATAAAGACTCATACATGATTGAGCAAATTTTCGAATGACTGGCGTTGAAGTGACAAAAGGATAGAAAGGTTCAAATAATACCTGTTTAGAAGGAAAAGAACTTGAGAGTATGCCGAGAGTTGGTGGGTGGTGTATATGTAGCTATTGTGTTAGCAGTTAGCCACTCACTTCTGTAGTTTTTTCAATATTTCCTGGTTCTGATTTGGCAGCACAACAGATGGAAAAAGAAACCGTACCCAGTCTCGCAGGTCTACACCAGTGCGGAATGGCACAGTACAACTCTGAGAACCATCTGGCTCGCCAGTGGAAAATCCCCATCCTGGCCATCACCAGGTATAGGAATTGCAACCATTTTCATATATAGCCTCCATTACTTACTGGTCTTCCTGTTTTTTTAAGACTTATACATGGTTTGCATCCTATGGTAAACCATCAGTTTTTACTCTGGTAAAATCCTCTCTTTATTGTGGACTTTGATACAGATATTGTGTTCATGATGGCCAAATGTATGAAAATTGGTTGTAATTCCTAAACCTGATTTGGTTGGAAATTCCATCAAATTAAATATGAAAATCTGTATTTTGAGCTCATGTTCATTATCATTCATTATTTGATTTCAACTCAAATGTATTGTGGTACTGTGATGGACTGGTGACCTGTCCAGGGTGTTTCCTGCCTTCTGTCCAGTGACCGCTAGGATAAGCTCCAGCACCCACCACGACCCAGGAAGATAAGCGGCTTATATAGTGTGTGTGTTTGTGTGTGTGTGTGTGTGTGTGTGTGTGTACTGTGGTGGTGAAAACATAACTTTGTCAACATCCAAATATTTATGGACCTGACTGTAAGTAATACATTAACTAAAATATGAATTCCAAACCATTTTACCATATTGTTTACTTATTTTTAAAATTACTTTTAGCAGTCACAGTTAAACAATTCCAAAATCTGGGGGGTTGTGCAGCCCCCTCATCACCCCCACTTCCCCTAGACAGGAAGACAAATCTATGTGTGGCTGTGTGAGTTTAGTGTGTGTATATAGTGTGTGGTGAGAGTGCTGATAGTGAGGCTGTCAAAAGAGAGCTGAAATGTTTCACATACAAAAAGCTTTGTTTGATATAAAAGCCTTATCAACACAACCATATGGCTACACGAAGATAAGACCTCAAGAGAGTGCTGAATTACTCACAAAAAAATCATATGTCGAGGACAAATATGCCAGTTGGTCAGGCTTTTTTTTAGATATCTAAAAAGAAATGAAGGCTGCAAACTTACAAGGGAAATAAATGTGCATTGGACCTCCAAATTATTGTTCAAATGGAAGTGCTCTGAGGGAAGCTCTCAACAGCAGGCCAATCACAAAGGGATTAAAGCTGAGGTTTCTCGAGAGGTCTGCCTCCATCATGGCAAGAATGAGAAGTGACTCACTCCTTGGTGGCAGCGGAGGGGTTTTCCAAGGATGTTGGAGCGAGAGAAATCCATTGAAAGGGTCACTTACAGGGCAAGTCTACCCAGGTCTTCATGACCGCCAGCTGCCTTCATCAAAAGCACTGCTGGGAATACGGTAGCTGCTCTGTGAAATATTTTCTTTTCCAGGTAGGAAGAATTGCAGGGCCCTAAGATTAGAGCTGTTATTATTTCTTAATAAAACTCAATTTAAAACAAAAAGAATCAAATTTAGCTTCCTATAGAATTAATGATAATTAGTTTGCAAGTTGCGCAATGATAATACATCATTTTACTTCTCCAACTGGCTTCTTCTGCAGTAAAAATAACTCCTTTTATATGGATTTTTGCCACAGTGTGCCAAAACATTATGACAGCTGACATTTCAAGTTGCGAGGTGGAGCTGCCGCAGTTTGGACTTCTTGTACCAGCACATCCTATGAATGCTCCATCAGATTGAGATCTGGGGAATTTGGAGGCCAGGATAACACCTTGAGCTCTTTGTCATGTTCCTCAAATCATTCCCGAACAATGTGTGCTGTGTGGCAGGGCACATTAATGTGCTGAAAGAGGCAATGGCCATTGAGGAATACCACTGCCATGAAGGGGTGTACATTGTCCGCAACAATGTTTAGATAGTTGGCGTGTCAAATAGACATCCACAGTAATGCTTGGACCCAAGATTTCCCAGCAGAACATTGCCTAGAGCATCACACTTTCTCCACAGGCTTGACTTCTTCCCACAGTGCATCCTGGTGCCATCACTTCCCCAGGTAAACGGCCCACAAAACGGAACTCATCTGACCCGGCAACCTTCTTCTGTTGCTCCAAGGTCCAGTTCCAATGCTCGCATGCCCATTGTAGGCACTTTTTATAGTGGACATAGGTTAGCATGAGCACTCTGACTGGTCTGCTGCACTATGTGTTGTGACACATTCCTCCCGTAACCATTGCTAGAAATCTCTGTGACTTGTTCCACAGTAGCCCTTCTGTCAGTCAGAACAGGATAGCCTTGGTTGCCCTTGCACATCAATGAGCCTGGGCGCCCAACACCCTTTGGCCGGTTCATGGTTTGTCCTTCCTCAGACTGCTGTCGGTAGACACTTACCACTGCTGACTGGTAGCAACCCAGTTGTCTGGCCATAACAATATGGCTCTTGTCAATCCCTCAGGTCTTCACACCTGCCCATTTCTCCCGCATCCAACGCGTCAACCATGAGAACCACCTGTATGCCATTGTTACCAGATAATCAACACTATTTGCTTCATCTGTAAGTGATCAAAATATTTTGGCTCACTGGGGTGTATATATATATATATAGCACTGTGCTAATAAGATCAAGAGCGCTTAATTTCCAGTCCAAATGGCCATAAAATATAAGCTCTTCGTTTTTCACTGTCAGAAAAAGCAGGAAATATATATTACATAACTGCCTCCTACACTGAATGTAATATCAAAACAGTGTTTAATTCATCCACTGTTTACTTTTGTGAACTCTTTCTGCCACTTTAACTCTTCCATCCCTTCCGATCTTCAAACCAAGCAGTTATATCTATGCCCTCCCAAAAAGATCTCACTGACATTATGTTCCCCTTCAAAGAGACACTAACATGCACAAAAGCAACTACCTAAACTCACCTTAGCTGCCTTCAGATTTCGTACTCATGTGCATCAAAAAAGGGGCCAAAGGAGATATTTCCGAGAAGACATAAGATAATCCTCTTGGATAAGGAGGAGAAAAGTCAAAGAAAGTGAAAAAACAGGAGTTTCCAAAACTGGAGTTAAAAAAATAAAGCTGTAGAAAAAAAGGAACTCAAAACAACCCATGCAAGACGATCAAAACTGCCAACATCAGATAAACAGCACTTGAAGATTTCATGGTTGAGAAAGAGGAGAAAA